ATTAGGCAAAAATCCAAAAACATAAAAAAGGGGGAAGATGGATTTGGTGTAAGGGCGCAAGAAAAATCCTAGACTATAATCGGTACTTAAGCAGATCATGAAACGGATTTTTATTTCTGAGTGTGCAGTGAAGATCTCTAATGAAGTGCGTTAAAAAGATCTCTCTTGAATCAGCTTTACTCTTGACCCCTTCATAAAGAAAATTGTTCCCTGAAGGTCTGCTTCATAAAGTGCATATATAGAAAAGGAAGGTCCAAAAATGGGGAAACGGGTCTAAGGACAAATGGTCCAGGCTAGACACATATGGTTAAAAGGACTTATAAAACAGGTGCTGAGACAGACTAAAGTTCCAAATTAAAAGAAAGTTTAAGAAACAATGGGGAACATATGAGTTACTGAACATGTAGGTTGTGTACACTGCCTTGGTATAAACTCCAAATGTTCATGCTTGCCTGGAGTGTGTTTTTAAAAACTCATTGCAGGAATTTGGTATTTCTGGGTTTATTTTTGTAGCAGAAGACTTAATTATGTGTGCAGAGTACAACAAATCATAAGCTATCAGTTACTGTGTGTAACTTGTAACTGCTGCCTAGATTGGCCAAGTATAAATCAGCCTCACCTGTCTTCCTTCATTGGGGTTGACTTACTAAAGGTATATAAGGCTGTTTACTTTGCAAAGGAATTTTCCCGTTGCTTAGTGAATGAGACAAAGTTCTGCTGACTTCCACCATCTTTGCAATCTTTCCCAATCTTTCAAAGTTCATTTTCACCACAACCCCCAACCCCAAGCAAACCCATTGAGTATAAAATTCTCATACTGCCTGACTGCGTGGACTTAAATTCCTTCTATGAATTAATTGGTGGTAGTCTTCACAATACCGTGGCCGCTGGTTCAGAACATGAACCAAATTCAGCACATCAAGCTTACAGTCGTGCTATTTTGACAGTTAGGTTATATGGTATATTTTCTTTAGGAACTTTACTTCCAGGAATTCCAACTCTGACATACTAAATATACTCTCATCATGCCAATAAAGCTTATTTTAATTTGCACGAGTCACAGTTGTACATGTATGATGGCTACACCCTACATTCCTGGCTTTATGTCTGAGCTTCATCTCTGAAACACTAGATTATATTACTATCCACATTAGATATGTCTTATTAACTATAATCATAATCTAGTAAATTCAGAGATTCCTTATCAAGCCACAAATGGGCGTTGTTATATTTGTTCACAACAAGATATTCTGTTGTTATCTGTAGGCTTCGGGGAAAAAAAAGAACTATAGTAATGGTGCACTTCTTAAAGGAGAACTATGAGGTGAGTGCTTTTCGCTCACCTCATAGTTCTAGCCGACCTGTGATAATGAGACTGTCACAGGTCGGCTCAGTAGATCGGGAGGTTCGCTCACCTCTCGATCCTGTCACGGCTCTCTGCCGTGACAGGGGGAGGGGCTGGATTCCCCTCTCCCCGCTCCGATCTGACTGGCGGAACGGACGGGGGAGGGGCGGGTACAGCTGGCTCTGCCTCTAGATAGGCAGAGCCAGCTGTCACTCACGCAGCTGGGCGGATTCGCTCCGGCTGCGGCGTCTCAGTATACCGCGAGCTGTAGCTCGCGGTATACTGAGCTTAGGGTAACGGGAGGACGCTAGTTTGTGTCCTCCCGTTACCCTAAGGAGAACTATGGGGAAAAACACTGACCCCATAGTTCTCCTTTTAACTCTATGAACATATTTCTAATTGAACCTGCAGCAACATATATTTTTAAAACCTGTTTATAAATACCATTTTTTATATCACTGCTGTGTAACTGTTCAGTAGAATTCAGCCACTTGGGTAAGAACACCACTTAAGCACAGCATGATCAAACAGTGAGTTTGATATTTGGGTCTTTCACTCGGAAAGAGCAGATAAAATAGTTGTTTTTATGCATTTTTCCTTTGGCTTTAGTTCCTGTGACTTTCCACACTATGCAATTCATGTCCCCACAGAGTCTCTGATTATGAATAAGTCATACTCCCATACCTTCTTTAGCTCTGTTAAAATATTTAGGTCTGTAAATGAGCACATGCCTTAAATGCTTAAATAGGATTTGACTTGCAAGAAGACTCAGATGTTTGCTAAGGCACATCAAACCTGTGTCCTTCTTGAGAACTTCCCTCTGGTGACATTACAGAGAGGTCACTGGACTCCGCCAGTGTAAACACATAAACAAGATGGGTGGGGGGACAAGGGAAAATTCCTGGTTGTATTTATTTATAATAGAGATGTCTTAAAGCGGTTGTTTAAATTTCATGTGGATCCTACATACAGTATTTATGCTCCTAGTTATTCACTCCATTAAACCTTCAGCCATGGATGTCTGGTTTAATGTAAGCATTCTGAAGAACAGACTTATATACAGTATATATTTAAGAACGATCAGCCAATCCTGCCTATGTTAGTAGCAGTGTTCCATATATTTTGGTAAAGCCCCTTAGTGTGGATGTGCTTTTTTGCTTCTAATGTGCTGTATAACCTAATCACTTCTGATCCTGACATTTAAAAATAGGAGCTGCAGAACTGTCTGAATTGATAGAAAAGTCACAACTAAAAGAATAGATAGAATGTTTTCCAAAACTATAGAGTTATTTCATATGTTTATATTGTCATGGTCTGTAATTGCCAGTTTCTTTATGATAATTATCAAATGTGTGTGTTATGTTTATCATTTTCCCTGTACTGTATTAGATTTTCTCTATATGCTCAGGGATCCCAACCTGAAAAAAGTAATTTGAGGGAGTTGCCCTTCTCATTTCAGGGAGGTGTCCTCTGCCCCCTCCCCAGGGGAGTCATTGAAGAGCACCCCACTGAAATTATGGCAGATGGCAAAGAAGCTATTGCTTCCCGTGCTATCTGCTGTGTGTTTTTTTTTTTTTGTATTCTGACAGCTGCTGCCGTCAGAATAATAATTAAAAAAAAACAGCATAGGAATGAATGGCTAGATTGCTATTGGCTATTTCAGTTTGCAATAGCCAATTGCAAACTGGCTATCGCACCCTCCCTCTGCTGCTGTCAGTCAGCAGGAGGAGGACCTGATGGAGAACTTCAGGTCCACCTCTGCTGATTGACAGCAGCAGTGGGCCGGTGCAATAGCTAGTCTGCTATTACAAATTCAAATAGCCAACAGCTATTCATTTCTATGCTGTCTGTTTTTTGTTTTTTTGTTTTTTTTAATCAGCATGGAAAGGTTTACTCTTAAAGCAGAGTAAACCTTTCCGGTAGAAAATGTTTCTCTCCTAGGCGGCTGGGAGCCGCTATCTAATAGCGGTAGACTACCGGAGCGTCCAGGAGAGTTGGGATGTCTGTATGCTAAAGGATATAGATGATTTTTTTTGTTCTTTCATTTTATGTGAAATGTTACATGGGTATGGTGCATTTATGGCACACTTGTACTGGTAACTTGTATTTAGTATTGCAGCCTTATGTCATTAATAAAGTATTTTACTGACTTTTTAGAATCGGTCTCCTAAATGGCAAAACAAACAAAAAAGCCATTCAAAAGCTGAGCAATGGATGTGAGCAGATAGCCCAGTTAGTGCCCATGATGTATCTTACTTTTTTCAAAACATGTAATAAGTAGGGCTGCAACCAACAATTGATTAATCGATAATGAGAATTAGTTGGTTGGATCCCCTAGCTCTCTCCTCCATGCTGGGAGCCGGGGGTTTCATCGGCTCTGTGTCCCCTCCAATCGGAGTGCACAGCAAGCAGTGGGCGGGTGCAATAGCCAGCCTGCAATTGCAATCTGCAATAGCCAATAGTAGGGTGGCTGTTGCACCAGCCCACTACCTCCTGTGTTTACACTCAGCTGCCATCTGCGGAATCTTGCCACTGGCAGCTGTCATTTCCTGGCTGAAGCTGTTCAAGCGCAATGTGTTTACTTTAGCTTGCAGCCTGAAAAATTGAGTTTGGGGTGGTGCTGAAGAGCTATTTAGGAAACAAAATGTAATACGTTTGAAAATGTAGCTTTTTATTTACCCTGTTAAAAGAAAAAAGTAGCTTTAGTGATGCGACTATTATATTTTGGTATGAGGCAAACCTGTATGTTAGCATCCTTGGTCTTTGTAGTACTGTATTTGTAATTTCAGAATATATCCGAATATATTATTCATTTGAATATGTTCTGTAAAACACGTGTAAATTATGGTTTATTAAAGGAGAAGTATTGCAATAGTAAAATGTACTTTTCCTAATAGTTTAAGCCGGTGTGTGACACTGCAGCTGTCGCATACCGGCTCTATAGCTCGAGAACTGAGCGATCACAGACCACTGATCACTTAGCTCACGGCTTCTCCCTGCTGAGAGCGGTGGCAGTCAGTCGCCGTTCCCTGCAGAAATGCCTCCCTCCCCTCCCTCCCCTCTCTCTGTTCCTCCAGCACTCACTGGAGGGACAGACAAGGGAGGGGTGGGCACAGCTGGCTCTGGCTCTAGAGAGGCAAAGCCAGCTGTCAGGCAGCGGGGTGCATCCTGACAATATTGTTGGGATCTTTCTTAGCTGCAGCGCGGCTCTGCGCTGTCAACATATAGCGGGCAGTAGCCCACTATATATGCTGATTTAGGGTCACAGGAGGGCATTAATAAATGAGAACTAAAGCTAAAAAAAAAGGTTTGGCTTTAGTTCTCTTTTAAAGGGAGATTATAATAAATGATACATTTTGATTAGAGATGGGTACACTTATCGCATGCCCGTCGCCATCCTATGAACACACTGGTAGCATTCATATTGTGCATTGTGTTTAATAGATATACATTAGAAGCCATGATTGCTACAAACTCACACTTATATAGATAGATATGCTTCTGTCTTTCCATTGGTGGCTTTCCAGTACATATGCTCAGTATGTTTGTGTCTCCCGAGGTAGTCTTGATGTTCAGATTCATAACTGCCTGTCTTAACTGTACAGTGGTTCAGTTTGAAATTCTACCTAACCTTTTTGTGTTGGTCTTTCTCCAGGTCACAAGAACTGCATGGGAGAGGAGATCACCATACATACATATCCGACATGAGCAAGGCGGGCGATATGGAAATGACTGAGACAAAAAGGCCTAGACTGGAACTAATGCAGGAACCGCTAATCAGACACTCACAATTTATGGGCCAGAGCCAACATTCAGCCAGTGAGGAACTGAACAAGGTAGTGAAACCCTAACTATTAATGTCGTTTTTTATTAGATGTATAAACATTTAAACTCATATGGGGCGGATTGATAAAGACCAAATCAATACATCTGCTTAGTTAAAACTTCCTAGGACTAATTATTAAAAGGTGCACAAGCCTATTTGTAAATTTTTCACCAGATTAAAGTGCCCTTATACCAGCGTGCACCAAAATTGTTGGTGCTTATCTGAGACCTGCAGTTGATTGATTCCTTTTGGGTTTGGAAAAACGCTATCGGTGCATCCCTAGTTAAAACCTCTGTGTCCCATTCAAAATATTTCTCCACTTCTGGTGCCAGAGATGCAACGAATCTCCCTAAAGTGAAGGGAATTCACCTCTGACACAGTTATCACCAGAAAAGGTGTCCCCATTGCAAAATGTACCCTTATCTCTTGTTCTGGTGACAACTCTAGAGTTTAATCTCCCCAGTGGGGTCACGATTCTTTCTTCCAAACATTTTAAAAGATATGTGCATCCCGCAGCCTTACAAGACCTAGTTTGAAAGCCCTGTAGGCCCTTTCTAGGAACTAATGAACATCCACTGTTTTACTTTGTGGAAAAACATCTGTGCAATAGGTACCTATCAGGTGCCTTTGGAGACCCTATCAGGGTCTAAAGTTTAAAAAGCTTTACTTCCCTACAGTAGAGTACTGTGTATGCTAGCCTCTATGGTAGCCCATTAGTCCTACCCCTCCTCTGTTCCAGTGCTGCGGCCTCAGAGAGCCTCTGCCTGTGTACTCCCATGTCACTACTGACTCCTGCAGTGAAATGTGGATGTATTACGGAGGTATACTGCATATGTCTTTTTTCTGCCTTCACAAACACTTCAAGTTGATGGAAGCTGATTTCTAATTGGACGTCATGACTTGCTGCCCACCATTGATCTTTGCATCATATTGTTAATCAAGTCCTATTTGTGCTGGGGAAACCTGGCATCGATTTATCTCCTTATAGTTGACGTAGGTGGGTCCAAGTTACTAGTGTTTATGTAGGGTTAAGAGAATAGTACCATTTATGATTTTCTCTGATTTCATTCCGTTCTGTTCAACGGAACACAATCTGTTTCCATTTATACAGTGTTTTTCTTTTCTCCACTGAGGATGGTACAGAGATAGTTGGAATGCTGTGCAGGTTGTGCTTTGGGATAAGGACTTGAAGATAACCAGCAGGCCCTCCTGTCTGTGTTTCATTTGGATAGTGGCCACAAGGGCGGAAGGCAGCATGTTTTTTTTCTATTATATTAACCCAGGTACTGCTTAGTTTGTTTTTAGGACTTGAATGAATATGTGCAGAGCACAAATCATACAATATGCCTGAGATGTGGTCATATTCTCTTAATTATAATACATATTTTTTAAAAGTCTTTAGGATGTATAGCTTTCCATTTTTGGCAAGTTTATCACTTGGCAGGTCAAATTGTTGTACTCTCTCCCTAAAGCACCATTTGTGATGAGTTGTACTATAGTAGATATATCTTCAGCGTAAATAATGGCTAGGCAAGTATGCCCCTAGTTACCCTTTTGCTTTGCAAACATTAATGAAATCCTAGCTGTTAAGCTTCTTGCTTACCCAGGGATAGAATGGTTTAACATTTTTAAGAAAGGTTATTAATAAAAATCATAAGGCTCCTTTCACACAGCATTCCGATCCCACAGCATTGTTAATCTATGAGCATTGTGATGTAAGTGGTTGTGTGACACATTTTCGCTTGCATCTGACTACCCATAGACCTAACATGGGTCTGGTTAGTTCAAGTTTTCTCACAAGATGGAGGAAAAAACTGAACAGACACGGATGTTGTAAAAGTGACATCTGTTCCATTCTGCTACATTCTGCAGGGGATCTGTGCACAGATGCCCTGCTGATCTGAATGGACCCACCCTCGAGAAAGGGGCATAATCATTATGTGATATGAATTCTACACTATCTACTTTGTTACCTTTACATCCTTTTATCTGTGGGGTTCAGATTCTACAACAGTCTATGCCACGATCAAATAAACTCTAAAAGTCATGGAACTAGAATGTGATTGCTTCTAATATATACCCTATATACTATTCGGGACGGCTTATACTCGAGTATATACGGTATGTATCATCATGAAATAAAGTTCTTCAAAAAATACACTGAATAATAGAGAACTGTGTAGGTTATGAACATATGTTCTTACAGAAATACAATGATTATGCTGTTATTCACTTTCTTTGGAAGATCTACTATAAAGGAAAATACAGTAAACTCCCAGTTATCCGACACCTACCGATCCCTGTAGTGGCTAGATTCCACAGCCGGCAGGTGATTGTAAACAGCCGGGAGCAATAACCAGACCGCTATTGGCCATTTCAAATTGCAATAGCAATTGGGCTGTTGCACCTGCCCACTGAGCAGAGGAGCGGATACGGAGATAGTTCTCTTTTAGGTCCTCTCCTCTGCTTAGTGGGTGGGTGCAATAGCCAGCCTTCTATTGCAATTTGAAATAGCCAATAGCAGGTTGGCTATTGAAACCCGCCCACTGAGCAGAGGAGCGGACCTGAGTGAGAAAGTTTAAAGTACAATAGCCAGCCTGCTATTGGTTACTGCAATTGGCTATTGAAACCCACCCACTGAGCAGAGGAGGAGCGGACCTGAGTGAGAAAGTTCCCCGTTGTTTACATTCGGTTGCAGGCAATCTAGATAAATAGTAGTTTGTTGCTAACAAGTTTTTTTAGTGTGTACCAAGCGACCGGCAATTTTTTTGTGTGCATCAAGCGGCCGGCAAAAAAAGAAATCAAGAACATATGTTCTTGATTTTGTTTGCTGGTTGCTTGAGAGTGCAGTTTGCTTGAATGCCGGATAATGGGGAGTTTACTGTATTGGTGTTGAACATACAAATCTGATTTTTTTTGTAATATAAAGAGAATTATTTCAGGATTTAGTAATGGAGAGCACCTCTATTTTATAGTATTTATGTGAAAGACCCAGAGTTCTGATGGAAAATTAGTGTAAATGAAAGGGTGTGCATTTCTAGGCAGCCGTTGACATGCTGTAGGAAGGGTAATAGGACTAACTCCAAAAGGAACCGGTAACACACGTAGCTCCTAACTGTTATCAGCCGGCCACATATACACACACAGCTGTTTGTTCTTGTGACGTATAGCAAGCTTAGCAAGTGTATTTCTACGGGGAATTCTGGTGTGCAAAGGGGAAGCACAGGTTCTGAATCAAGACCCTTGAGACTGTGCGATAATTATTCTCTGTTACTGTTCCTTTGCTCTAAATATGTTATTGTTCACTAGAAAGTGTGTCCACCAGGGCAGATAAATCATTTATATTTGGGGATCATCTGTGTAATTCATTTACAGAACACAATTATGAGAAATGTATGTTCTGAATGTGATATAAATGTTTCTGCTGTTTATACAGCAATCACTCTGCTATATTAAACTGTGCTCTAAAATAGAGTTTGGGAAATAAAATCTTTGTAAGGTGGCACAGCTAGGAACTGGATTGGTGTCTCGTGGTCTGCTTGGAGTTTGTCCAGCATTGTCCCTGCTTGATGCATCTCAGTACAGCTCTGTTATGGGAATACTAATCTGTTGCTGGGATTAACATCTCAGAGTTTCCAGTGGGCTGGGCCTCCCCCATTATTCATGAAACTGGCTGCAACTTGTATTGACCTTGGCAGGGATCCCAGTTGGCTAGGAGGTAAAATGGCACTAGCAAAATCCTTAGATGCAAAGCGTGGGAGGGGGAGGCTAAGCACTGACCCTCTCTAGAGCTGAAGCACTGTGTCAGGATGTGTAGGGGTGGATTCAGTGTTCAAGCAGTCCATCAACAAAACCTGGAAATAACGCCTGGCGAGCCATGTCTATGCTACCTCAATTTTTGGATAATGAAAAGCAGTGTAAAACAAATAGATGCTTTTACTGGCAGCTGGCTGGCTGTTGTCTTCCAGGAATATCAGCTGTCAGATTCAGTAGTGTTAGCAGTTTTTAACCGACTTTTATTGGTTCATTATTTGGCTGTTTTACTGTCACAAGAAGCTGGCAGACATGCAACCCTGTCACATATTAATGAATATGTTCCAGAATGCTGCGTTGACCAGCAGTAATGCTCATTTATTATACAGAAATCAGGCAATATATTTAATTGTTGCTGCAGGATATACCTGCTTGTTAGCTGAAATGAAGATCCAGTGCATACATTATTTTATAAGATGTTCCACAATAATCCCTTTTCATACGTTGCATGGGTAAATAAGGGGGAAATGAGAGCGTCTATATTGCATGTGTCATTTTTTTGGCGTTAAAATTGTAAATGGAAATTTTCTGGTTCACACTTCTGTGTTTTGAGAGAGAGACTGACTTGTATTAAGATAAATGTAAAATGCAAGTATTGTGCACTTTCCATGTGTTTAGTTGCATTTCCATTGATACCTGACAGACATGTTTTTGTAAAAAAAATATTGCTTCCAGAACTGTTAAAAATGCCAAGTATAGTGCCATTGAGTATTTTAAGTACAGTTCTTTGTTAACCTTAATTGGATTTTTAGCTCAGTTGACCCTAGAGATGCTATTTGTGCAATTATGGTAGTCTCCATGGGAGCAGGCTCTGATGAAGAATGGTTCAGTATCTCTCACTTTTGCACTGCAGATCATCTCTTTATCACCTAACTCATGAATTGCTTAGTATTGTGAACAAGCAACAGAGTAGCTGTATTGAACCCACCATAAAATATCTTTTACCCATCCTTATTGCTGCAGTGTGCACTCCATGCGATTTGCACATGTGCACTCAGTGCATCACTGAAAGTACTTGGCTGACAGTACATACTATGTGCTGAAGGACATGATTGGCGTAAAAGTACGGTAGTACCAATATTCAAAAAAGGTTCAAGATGCCAACCTGGGAACTACAGATCAGTCAGTCTAACATCAATAGTATGCAAACTGAGGAAATGATAAGGGGCTACTACATAGTGGATTTTGTTCCTGGCA